CAGCCGAAACGTCGACAGCGAGCTTGCAAGGTCTGCTCGATAGTACGTGCCAGTGATAAACGCGCTACGACAACGTCCTTCTTTTGCAGTGAATGCAGCGAGTCGGGGCCTATATTTCTGTGCATGAAGCCGCGTCGTCAGATCCGTGGGGTGGCGATGACTTGCTGGGATATCTGGCATCGCGAATGGAGGAATGGCAAACTGGCTCCTGCTGACACCGGAAGAAGTATCAGAGTGCGACGTGCTGTGAATGTGGGTACTGGTCCCTCTTCTACACCAGGAACACCTGTCGAGCCGCTTACACCTCTTGCTCCGGCTAGCATAAATAAACGACGAAGGATGAATATATAACCGGTAAGCTGAATATAAAATTGAATATATGCAATCTAAGTGCCTCCAAATTGTTCTTTGCAAACGTCTAACACACGATATCACAACCAATGTGTCCAGGGACGCCGGCTGGTTTTCCAGCTGATGACTTACTTGTTTTTGGTTACCGATAAGCCTGCTGAACACGCATCAACTGATTGCCCAGAGGTCAATGTACACGTCAATTGATTGCACATGCTCATGGGGACGACACCCCATCTTTGAATATGAACGTTTGTATGGGAAGTTTTCAAGTTTAAATTTGCGAAAATTGGAACTCTATGAAATGTATAAACCGGCGTGCGTGGCTCGTGTCTGTACAGTGTCCTTCTATGATACGGCAAATTATGCTGCATTATGCGGATTGTTTTGAGAACTTTGGAGCCCAATATTCAGCCTAGCGTCAGTTTAGGCTTGTCCATGCTCAGTCATTCCCGACTCTGACATATTACCCTACCCTACCCGGAACCTTTGAATACAAATACGAAGTCAAATTATGGTGCATATGCAATTTAAAACTACTAAAATTTCTCCGGGCTGGAGGGCTTAGCCTATCTATAAATATATCTAGCTTACAACCTACCTTAAATTGGTCACTTCGCTCCTTTAGTTAAAAAGACATGTGAGCTGCCGCTCATTGAGAGTTTGTATACTCTCGGAAGCCGACTTCCTCTAGCGCAAGGTGCTGTGTGACCTCGTCCCAAATTTAGCGTCATAGGCTGCACGTTTATGAGACGCACGATCTGGATCGGCAGATAACAAGATTACATATCTTGATTTTGCGCTATCGGCCTTAAACAGCTGCAACCGCTCGCAATTTTCCATCTCGATCGGCTTTGTCGGTGTCACTGTGAAATACTTGAGCAAACATTTGTCAGTTTGAAAGCCTGCCATCACTACTGCTGCTTTAGAGCCTGACCGAAAGAGTTCTTTGGTGTAAGGTGGCAAGAAACGTACTTAAATGGGAAATGAATATAAAATATCATCAAGTATCTAATTTGTTTTTCAAATCTCTGAGCTAATAAAAAAAGTCAATTTTTGAATAAAACTTACTTACTACTGATATTTAATAATGAAAATAGTCTGTTAATAGTATTATTACTTTAAAGCATATCATATGATATTTGGTTACCATCAGCCCCTGGTGACCAGGCTGGTCAGCTGTTTCTGAACTAACCGAAGCACAGAGGTCGCAAACGTGATTTTTCGGTTAGCCGTACTCGTCTGACAGCCCTGATCATGGCCAACCGTACGGTCAACTATGGCTGGCCGAAATGAGCGATCGATTTAACCGAAAATTAATTGTAATTTATTCAATATTTCCGCTCAAAATAAGCTGACACGCAGCATTCTCTCTCGCCAAAATTCTGAATAACGAAAAACATGCAAAAAATCTTCGAATACCCATCTTCTGGTGAGCTCGGCCAACCATAACGAACCGATCGTAGGAGTCGGTTACCCGTACCCGTCCGTTTTTCAGAGAGGCAAACTTTCGGTTAACCATACCCGTCCGTGGCTACATTTACGCAAACGAGTACGGTTAACCATTTGCATGATCAGATTATGCTTCGGCGAAGCATAATCTGATCATGTTTTTACATGTGTTGTCCTAGTTGCGCGCAGTAGCCCAATTTATTATACTGGTACTGTACGGTCAGCATGTCTGCTCCAGCACTTAGTTTTAGGTCATTAAACATGTTCTCTCTCCACTACCA